CGGGTGATGAAAGTGTGTTTGATCACAGAGGCTGTATTTGGGTGAGTTTGTTCTGTTTCTTCTTCATACCCAGAGAGGAGAGGAAGGGGGGTGGAACAGATGTCCGGCATGGTGCTATGAAAGACTATTAGAGTCCAGCGCATAGGCTTGTGGACAGATGATTCTTGGGGTCTCTTGCTGCACAGATAGATGTACCCAATCTGGGTTTTTCTCTTAATAATAATAAGCAGCAGTGTTGATGCAGTCATGGCCAGCTCACTCTGAAACCTGTTCCCCTCAGACATCAGTGCCTTTTACTAGAGCCGCCTTCCCTAAAGCAATGATGCTGCAGTAACACTGCTCTGATACTGAACGTGAAACAGTTGGGAGACTCTTAAAGGTATGCATGGGGCAAGAAAGCAGTCGCAGTTGGGTTGCGAGCACTCGGCTGGGTGACAGGTTGCTGGGGAGAGAGCTGAGAGGCTCGGGAACATTACCGAAAAAAGGCTGTTTGCTTTCAGGTGCAGAGAAGAGTTCGGTAAGCACCTAAGCACAGACACCTTTACTTTCACATTTTTTATCTATTCTAACCTAATGTGTAGTTCTTATTAAACAAGTGCAATTATCCTGGAGAAGAGACAAAGGAGTACATGGATTTTATTTTTTATTTTGAGTAAAGTTATCTCTGAAAATTTCCGAGTTTGTGAAAAAAGGGCCTCCTTTTTGAAGAAAGGGTGCTTTTTAGATGTTTCCATCTTTTAATCAAATGTTATTGTTTCCTAGGAAATTCAACTCAGTCTTATTAAGCTCAGTGTTATGTTTTCTAGGAAACTTAGAATTTCAGTATTATTATTATAAACAGTAAACATTATACAAATTAACATTCTAAAAAAATCTTGTAATTAATAGTTTCAGTTTATTTACATATAGTAGACATTATATAAATCGACATTCTAAAAAAAGAATAATATCTAGTAATTAATATTTTTAGTTAGAACTCATGCACCTCCATTGGGGTTTTTCCATAAACAAGTGAATAAAGATAAAAATGCATTTTTTAATGAAATTTAGTTTGAAAAGGTATCAGATTAAATGTCTGTGTTTTTAATAATAGCTTGGTGTCACCTCCATGTTACAATGTAAAATGATAAAGCCATGTAAAATGTTGTGGAAAAGGGTTGTGTGGGAAAGAACAATTTCAAAAGAGAGTTAAATCAGGAACAACGAACATTTCATATGTGAGCATGTAGGATCTTTTTGGACATTCTCTCCATGTTTACAGCATAACAACCCATAGGACTATTTGCATGTATTTAGACTTTATATGTACTTGCATATTTCATTAAATAAAACACGCTTTAAATGTTTAATTCACCAGCTTACAAATAGCTAAACAAATGAAGTGGTACTGTTTTGGACAACTTCATATTGAAGATAATCCTTCTACAGCATTGAGGGTATGTCCCTGTCAATGCAGGAGACTTACAATGCTGTATTTTTAATATTTATTTTGATTTGATGTATTTTAATGAACATTAAAGAAAGTGAGTCATGGTCTAGGAGAGTACCAAAAAAAGCAAAAGGGCAAAAAGTACAGTGAGCTTAAATCACTTCAATAATTCATAGTAGTTGCTTTTATAGCCTTTAGCAGATGTGTCATCCCACCAAAGCCCAGCCTCATGATTGATATCAGTCCCATGAGAAGGAGAAACTGGTAGCTCAGTCAATCAGTATCACCCTCAGTTAAAAACTAAATCTATATTTATTTGTTGTTAAGTGGAGAATAGCTTTCTTATCTACTTCAGTTTGTGGAGATTCACTGAAAACAAAGTATTCTAATTCCTATATATTTTTCTCAAACCAGCAGTGGTAAAAACAGTGGTATCGGCTTGGCCATAGAACAGAACATGATGAAAATTTAAGACCCTTTAATTTTGTTTTCCAGGCAGCAGCAAAGCATCACCACAGTGTCCTCTCCATCTGTACTCCACGAAGTGAGTGCTCATGCCAAGTGCTGTAATTTACAGACTGTGTTTTGCTGAACAGCCATTTTGTGCAGACTTCTGTCACCTTAAAAAATATTTGCCTTAAGCCCATCCACCTGTTCCCTTGCACATCTCTGTCCCAATGAAGTAACTGGTTCTTAATCTTGTTAGATATGGAGTGAAAGAAGGTTTGAGGTACTGTGCACTGTACTTTCATACCCCTGTGAATCCAAACCTTATCAGTTTGAATATTGTTGTATTTATGAGTGACCACAGAGGAATATGTTGAAATGTCAGAGGTTTCCCATGACACTCGCTTGTTTGGCAAACTCAAAATGAAACATGAAAAATCATAGTGTTGATTTTATTTTATTTTTTTAACTTACACATATTTTCCACAGTCTTAAAGTCCCCATGCATTTAGGTAACTTAATATTAATAGCTCATATCGGGAGCTGTATACTGAAACAAACTTTTGCCCCATTCTAGTCACTTCTGAGTTCTCAAAAATATTCACCATCATACTTTGGGTATTATTTTATCAAAATGTCTAGAAATGTTCTACATGTGCTCTAGAAGATCATGTACAGTAACTATTGCCTTAGACCTTTTGTTTTTTTGTTCTGAATAGACATTATCCCCATATAGTGACAGTCCCGTCTTTCCCAACAATGGCAACATACGGACAGACTCAGTACAGCGCGGGAATCCAGCAGGCTGCTGCATACACTGCCTATCCTCCTCCGGGGCAGCCGTATGGCATACCCTCCTACAGTGAGTACTCTGACATCATGTTACCTTTGAGGACATCTGCCTCTTGCTCCTAGAAGAATATATTTGAAGTCTTAAGCTTTAGAATGAAAGGTCATTTCTGTCTTGGCAATGTTTTCTTCTTAGGCTTAGAGGAAAATCTGACTTTGTTAGGATTACTTTGAGCTATCTATCAGCTCTTGATATCCTGGGTTATGGTCTTCCAAACTAGGTAAGTTTGGAGCCAGTCAGCAGTAGGATATGAGGCAGCATGAGAAACTCAGATTCAGTAGGATGTGCCACTTAGGAGTAGTAGCTGGTGAGTGTTCCCATGTCTCACTGCCAAGACAAAGTCCCTTGCAGTAAATATGATATTTAGGTAAACTACATTTTGCCTTCCTTGATTCTTCCTGGGGTTTCAATGATACAAGCTACTTTAAGGAAAACTTTTTGTATATTATTATGGAAGAACCAAGACACAGGGCAGAATAAGACACGGGTGAAATGATACAGAGTACTTTGGTTTTGGAAGACAGTCCGTATTCAAATGGATGGTTGTTAGCTGTAGGTGCAGTAGACATTTCTAACCCCAGTCAGCTTTGTTCCCTGCTTTCCTGCACAGCCTTGCCAGCAGCTGTGGGGAGATGGTGCTGGGCAGGAGCAGCTGGGGAATTCAGGCAGGGGACTAACTAAACTAAAAGCACTCCTCTCAGGGGAATGCCTGGTAAACCAAGTGTTAAGAGCGTCCTCAAACTCTGCATGGAAATACTGAGCTCTTGAGGGAGCTGGGAAGTTCTTTCCACTCCTGAAGACCAAAGAGAGATTACTCTTGCTTAGGTACAGCTCTCTAACATAAAGCTTTGGGCCCCTTATTCCCAGCTGATCCTGTGAGTGCTGTGTCTTGCAGCATTAAAATGGCTTCACAGTTCTGTTTCCGCTCCTGGTTTCTCTTGTGCTCTTAAACACCTTCATTTGCTTGGCAAATACAGTATCCCTTCCCAACAAGAAACTTTTATACAGCCATTGACAAGGCTTTTACTGAAGGGGAATTTAATGCAATGGTCAGGGAGGCCAGGGAAATGGGCTTTGCAGAGCTGAAGCTCTACCAGGATGAGAGGAATGTTTTGAGACCCTTTCCTGGAGCTACTTATGTGTTTGCATCAGCTGGCTGATTTCCAAGGCAAACTCTGAACAGTTGTCCTGTTAGAGCAGGTGAAAGTAGAGCCATTTGCTACTGCCTAGAGTCTTTAGGGCATACATGTGTCAGGCCCATATGCTGCTTATAAATCCTGTGGATGACCTCTTAGCATCCTTGAACAGTGATTTGCCTCCCCCAGCCCATATACCCTCTCTAAGATACTCAGCACAGCATATGAAAAACTCCACCTGGCTGACAACCAAGAACAATGAAGCAGTATTGTTTTTAGGCACAAAAATAAAACTCCGCCGGCTTCTAGACAAAACAGAACATTGTGTGGAAATTAATTCGGTGCTAAGTTATTTTGCTGTCTAATAACAATTTTTAGACTTCCAAAAAGGCCCATTCGTTGAAGATTAATTGTAGCTGGGGTAGGTTGAATGCTCACATGTGGAGTGCTGATGTAACTGAAAAGCATGGGATGTTATGAAAAGCAGTTTCCCCGTGCACACTCACAAATCCTTTTGCTTCCCCAGCAGTAATGGAGCCAGACGCTTGCACCAACACATGTTCATTTACTGTCCAAATAAACTTCCTGCGTTTCACAATGCAGCATTGTCATCTTGTTGCTAACTTATACTCAAATTGCATTGCAGCTATTCTCACCTAAAGCTAAAAGAAGTGATTTTTATTAGAGAAAACATTATCTGGGAGAACTTATTCCCAACCTGAGCAAATGCAGACTTGTTGCTTTTAAGAGTCATTAAGCTAGAAAAGAGCATGTTTGGCGGAAGGCACATGAATTCGACTTGTCTTTTGGCAAGTTTGCCTACAAGTGCTAAAAGATGACAACAGCCTGGGAAGTGTATAAATCCAAAGCCAGAACATCAACAAGGTCTTTGTTTAGTCCCAGCACTCAGGGTGTGTCCAATGGCCGTTTTTTGTTTTGTGCAAATAGGCATGCAAAGGAGGGAAGGATCACGCCCAAAGGGTTCATAATAAGACGCACCTTTCAGCTGTTTATTTTAATAATACAGCTGTACAATCTCGGCAGCATCTCAGAATAAAATATCAACCCCTTTCACTACCAGCAAAGGTTTCATCTTGCAATGTTTAATTCAGCTATTGCTGTTTCCCCTGTAAATTGTCAGTTTAATTGCCTGATTTTTAGTAATGAAAAGATTTTTGTGGCTTCAGGGCTTACCTATTATTTCTGAACGGTATGTTATATCTAACTGAATAGATGATAATCCTCCTGTATGACTTGACAATAAATATTTTGCTACCAAAGCTGAAAATATAATGCAAGTAAAAGATAACTGTTGAGAACAGAAGTCTTGAAGTTATTTTGTTGAAGATCCTGTTGCTTTGTTAATCATTGCTTGCATCTGATAACCGTTCAGAAAGTTCATGAGTCAATGAGTTCATTTAATTCTAAAACAAAACTATTTGTTCAGAAATTGTTTTTAAAAACAATATTATTCATGGTTGTTTCCCCATCTTAGCAAAAGTTCATTCAGGTGTGGATACAGGATGTAGCTGACAAATATTATTTGTGATGAATTTACTTGACTCCATTATTTCAGAGTTTACCTGTTTGGTAATGCAGATAATTAAGAAAAAATATAAGAAAGTGTAGGAAACAGTTTATTAGGTTAAAATCTAGCTGAAAAATTGTTAATTCTTGAAGTTGCTTTTTTACACCTTTATGTGACAAACACATTCTGCTCTTGGTTCCTACTATATGCCTCAAAGGCATCAAAACAGAGGACAGCCTGAGCCATTCCCCAGGACAGAGTGGGTTTCTTAGCTACGGATCCAGCTTCAGTACCCCGACGGCTGGACAAGCACCGTACACGTACCAGATGCATGGTGAGTACAGCTTGGTGCCTTGCAGGATGTGCTCTGAGAAGTCAGAATCCTATATACCCCCATATTAGACCAATTCTTCTTCTTTTGCAATTACAATGAAAAGCTTAGGTATAAGCAGTCAGGGTAGGGAAGGAGGTAAGTCTTCATAGATCTGTTTTGCTCATCAAGGAATTAATTTCTGGCTGAGGTACTGGATTTAGCACTAGTATACCCTAGAAGAACTTCACATATGACCAATACAAGCTTTGCCTTTCTGCAGAAACTGTGTCTTCTTTTTTTTAATTAATTTTGGGACTGCATACCTGGGATGATTGTGTTAGTGTAAATTCCTAGATTCTGAGTGGAAGTAAAACAAAGGTGGTTTTACACTTCATGCAAGCAGTAATGTTAGTATTATGCTTCTGCCCTATGCTGTCCTGAACAAACTGCTCTGTGGTTAAACTGCTGTATATTCTCTCCGCTAATTTTTTTTTTAAAAAGATGATATCTTGATACTAAAAAAATATTTTTTACTGTTAAGACATAACTAATACCTGCTAAGATACATCTGCCTGTTTTAACTCCCAAAGTACCAACATCATTAATTACCCAGATATTACTGAGGTAAGGTTCAAAAGAGCAGAGCTGAAAGCAGCTGTTTTTTCCTCAAGGTTACTGAGCCAAGATTTAGTAAGTTTAGAATAACTTTTATTGTTGTCAGAATGATAACTAATTATAAAATAATCAGTTGGATTCCCTTAAGGCTTCAAAGATAGTGCCTTGTGCTCATAGTTTTATAACACTTCGTTTTGTTGTACAACCAGGAAAGCCAAAATATACTTTTATTTCTAAAAATAAAATTTAAAGTTCTTTTCCATTTGAGAAGCTGTATGAAACACCAGCTCTCAGGAGATTGAATGTTGACTTGCCAACTCCAAGAAGGTCATGAAAGGGTTTAAATCTGAATTGCCAAGAAGTGTGAAGTAAACGAAAATGGTGGAATTTCATTTGTGATTCCCTTTAGCCCATTTCTAGCATGGTATTTGATTTCTTTGAGCATTTTGGTGCTGTTGGTCAGAAACCTGAACTGCATATGGCAGATTTTCATTATTTGGCTGGTATTCCATGTGCTTTTTCCTCCAGTGTGTACTGTTCCTGATCTTCGTGAATTATGTTGATTTTTATTTATTTATTTTTTAATTTTCCTGGGACTTGCTGAGTCATTAAGCATGAATTGGAGGAGGAGTACTAAAATTTGGATGTACTCTGTGTAATCTGAATTTAAAAACACCTCTCCAGGCAATCCTGCAACGAATGATGATAAATTCTAACACAACAATAGCAGATGAGAGGAACCATAGCATAACCATTTCAGCTTTATCAATCATTTTACATGCAAGAAGAATAATGAGTATATTCTGAGAAATAGATTATGTCCTTAAAATGTCACTCCATCTCTGTGCCTCCTCCTTGGGTCCCCTGGGAGTGCAGTTTCATTCCTCACCTAGAGGCCTCATATTCTGAGTCCACTTCGGTGTTTCTATTGAACTTGAGTAGTAGAAAGTAAAGATTAGATTTTGTCTTCTGCTAAACCTCAGTGCACCTGCATTTGAAAGAGCCTTGCATTAAGCATGAATTGCCATGAGTGCATGAACTGATCCAAGCGTTAAAAAAAACATTTCCAAGAGATCAAAATGCAAATATTCTTGGTGTTTCTTAGCAAATATCTTCATTACTGTCAAAGATGTGACAGTAGCACAAATGGACGTACCTCAAGTAGCTTAAAATTACCCAATTTATGTGCTGATGAATGGGAAGAGTCAGGAAGCCCATCAGCCATGCAGCCTAAACGTGCTGCACCCTTTCCTGCTGTGGCTATACATATCCAGACTCGCTAGTTTAAAAGCAGCTCAGGTACAACTGCAGCAGCTCTCCTAGCAGCAGTGCTAGTTCATCTGTACCACATGCACAAGAGCTCTCTGAGAGGCTGTTTCACTGGAAGAAGAGGGAAGGCAAATGCACACAAGGATAAAGCTCTGCCTTTGCTTTGTCCTTCCCTCAGAGATTTTCCAAGGGTTGGAAAACCAAAGAGAAATTGCGTGGCTTTCCCAAGTTCTCGTAGAAGCCATGGAAGGGGAGAGAGATCAAGTCTCTCACTTCGCTTTTTGATATTGTAGGGAGTCTTTTTTAAAACCTCTAGGCAAAATGCCCTTTTGTGTCATTACACTTAGCTATGCCCTTTGCAAAACCGTCAATTCTCTCAATTTTTCTCTGTGAAAGGTAGACAGACACATCCACTTCTATTTTAAGTCTGAGAGCAAATAAAATCCTAAACAGTTATGAAAGCTGGGAAACAAGGTAAAACCCATTTTATTCTAGAAACTATTTAAGAAAGCTGAAGGCTGAGAGGTGACCCTCTGCTGAGACTTCATGTGCTAGTTCTGTCAGAGCACATATCTCTAACACTAAGGTGGTTTTGTGGCTTGAATCCCTCAGGGGACATGCTGGAGACACCTGGGTTGAACGTGGCACAAAAAAAAAACCCCAAAAAACCATAGCCTATGTTTTTCTTCTGTCACCTTGACTCCTACAAGCTTCATCTGTCCTGCTCCTAACAGGAGTTCAGTTCGTGGCTTCTGTTTTGTTCCTTGAACATACCGATCTTGTCTTGAGATTGTGTTACACTGTCAGTAGTAGAAGTCCTCTCTTTTTAGTAAAACTGTGGCTTGAAGTTACCAGCAATTGTAGGTACTGGAGAGTCACAGCTTTGTCTGTAGGCTGAAGTGCCAGGTCTGTGCTCTCCCGGAGTAATAGCAGCCATGCTGCCTCCTGACTAACTGCTATATAGTTAGATACTGATGGCTGTAACACCACTATTGACAAAGTATTGGCATTTTCTTTTGCTGCCTTGGAAGATCGGTGTATTCCTGTCAAGGTTTCTGTTGGGTTTTGTTTCGCCAGAACACAGCTTCCACAGGTGCTTGGTGTCAGCTTAGAAGCATCTGAGCTGTTTGAGAAGGCAAACTCTTGACTCAGTGGGACTCAAGTTTTTAAGATGGCCCCTTTGTTCCATCAAGAGGTTTAGACAAACAAATTTTGTGCATTAGCAGTTGAAAATGTTACACTTGCAAACAATAGTGACACAACCACGTGTTGTACCAAAACAGGCTGGGAGGAACTTCCTGCATATGTGTATGAGCATGAATGTGCCCAAAGTGCTTTCAGGTAATGTTCCTTAGGACGATGCTATGGTATTAAGTGAAATCACTTCTTTTCAGATTTTTATGTCAGGAAGAACATTTCAGCCAGCTCACTAAGCCTTTAACGCAAAAGAAAACAGAGAAAAACAGTTTCTGCAAGTGGCAGGTGCTTACTCCAAAGCAAAGCGAGTAGGAGTAAATGTGTCTTCCTGTTGTAAACAAATATTTCCACCCTTCTTCTCCTTGCTCATGAGAGGAACAGTCTGAAGCTCCCTGACCGTACGGTTTATTTACCTTGCTGAGTGCTAGTGAAAGGTTTGAGTGAGAAGCCAGGAGCCTTCCTGTGCTGAGTGCTACCGAGGAATGTGTGCTCAGTGCTTTCCCACGCCACAGCACTTGGGGGCGGGGAAGCGATCGCACTTCTCCCTAACGCGAGCAAACAATTCTCCATGCTGCCCAGCTCCAGGACCATTGAGACTTTCGCTAAGTTCACATCAGTCCTTTTGGTCACCCCGTTGCTGACCCAGGCAGGGACTCTGGGTGATGGGCTAAACCAGCTGAAAAGAGCAAATTTGTATTTACATGTTTTTATAAAATCAAATTTCAGGGGGACTTTAAGAGTCAAGCTCTTAACCCCTACTTCAAGGACAAAATGTTTATTGCACTGCGTTGAAAAAGAGATCTTGAAGAGGGTGACTTCCGGGGGATCCGCAAGGAAAGGTATCTCCAGGAGAATATGCTGCTTACTTTTGTATTTTAAAGTGTGAGCAAAAAATCATTTTCTTAAGCTAAGCTCTGCACGTATTGTAAGATGGTAATAGCTCAACTGCATAAGTGAAATAACTTTGGTATTGTTTGCCTCCATTGAGAACCAGCTCCCAGAGCAACATAGTGAAGTCATCTGCAGGCGGGCGTGGGTGGTCAGACTATGAATCTTGAGCAGATTGTGCAGCCTGTGCGATTCCTCCTCACTGTCCCCTCATTGATGAGTTACATGGTCCAGCCAGCAAATAGGCACCCATCATAGGTGTGTTATGCCAATCACCAAGAAATAAATGACCTCTTGGTTGACAAATACTTTGTCTCAGAGGGCTCTAAGACAAATGTTCTCCTTTACTAAGTGCCAACGTAGTTGGTACTGGTTTGTTTGCTGTCATGTTTCTTTGGTACCAGCATTAACTCTGGCTGGGATACATGTGTCGGGTTGCAGCCTCACCTTCCTGGTGGCTGTTGTCAGTAACGTAGTACTTCTGAAGCCAAATTCTGCTCTCATTTAAGTCCGTTCGTGTTCATTACAAACACAGATGATGCAGGTGTAATGGAGTAGCATTCAGCTTTTCATCTTTAATTCCAATTATCAACTGTATCCTGGTTCTTGAGCAAGAACAGAGTCCACTAAAAAGCAAGAATGAGGATAGAACGTTCTTTTGGTCATTAAGCATGTAAAAAAAAAACAACCCTATTTTACAGCCAGCCAGAAGGGGAAATCTATTTTCATGCTTCCCTGGCATGAAAATAAATTAAATGTGGAAGGGTTTATAAGCTAAATAGCTAATGTAGTATGTCACACACATATATAAATATAAAAGACGAGATTGGCAAGTTCCATAGCTCATAAAAATGACTTGAAATTATATCACAGAGGTACTATAGATTGAAATAATTATTTTAATTGCCATGTAACAGTGGATATGATAATGTATCATCAGACTTTGAGTAACATTCAAATAGACTGGAATCTGCTATTCACTTATTTACTCTGAAGGAGTGACTTTTTTTTTTTTAACCAGTGCTCTATACAGTGTTGTTTCGTGTCATTTT